TGAAAACCAAAATACAAGAGAGTTGAGACAGTAAGCGCACGGAAATAACCGTTAATCGAAGCAACGTTGCCCTCTAGTGGTTAAATATATTTACTGCGGGGGCTGTAAACACGGAAGTTCCTGTTTCCGTCCATTTCCTATACAAATTGGCAATTGCTCGTGCGTTTTGTCCCCTTTTATTGTGATGGTGGTGTAACACAGTCAGTAGTTTAAAAATGTGCACCAGAAGTGTTTGATAAAGAAAAAATAGGCGGTATGTTTTCATAACTCACAGCTGGAATATAAGCATGAGCTGCAGACATGACAGGATACCCTGAATTTTAAGCGTCTTTATCAGGTCTTAGACTCAGAGTTACAGCCACAGCTCTAAGTGAAATGACCTAAACTGACACCTCAGCTTAGTGAACCTTTCCTTCGTTTTCTCCCAGCATGCAATTCCCCCCTTTCTGTGTTTCACTTTCATTTTTCAATGATTTCTGCTGAAGCTGCGTGCAGGAGACGAAGCGGTAAGTTAGCAATTTTTTACATATAGCTCACATAATTTATAAAATAATGAGAATATAAGATAAGATGCTTTATGGCTTCTGAAAATCTGAGTGATTTTGATTGTAATGCATGATTATACAACGAAACCATTTGTGTGAAATCGAAAGTAATGCTTTTCCCGGTCCTTTGTCATGTGTTATAAAGTACCATGAGAAGCAGTAGTTTGTTTAACAGTCCAGCTATCCTGAGATGTTCGGTGTTTGCTGTGTGACACTACAAGTAAGCGGAGAAATATTGCATTTAGTTTTCTGTGTTTGTATTTCAGGTCCCGCCTCTGTTGTCACCATGTTAGTGGCTCCTCTCCTGCTGGTGCTTTTCGTTCCCTTTTCTCCCTCATCTGGAGCACAGTTACCAAATCAAGCCAAGGCCAAAGACCTCCCTATTGCCACCAATGGTCAGCCCTTCCCCTGGGACCGCATGAGACTTCCCACAACCGTCACTCCACTCCACTATGACCTGGCCATACACCCCAATCTGACCACCCTGGACTTCACTGGCGTTGTTCGTATTGAGCTTGATGTGCATGAAGACACCAACACTGTCATTCTCCATGCCAAGCAATTGCAGATATCCGATGTGTTCCTCTTGGCACCTGAAGGCATTAAGCGCCTTAAGGTGTTGGAGTATCCTCGCTTCCATCAGCTAGCCTTGTTGTCAGACTCAGTGCTCATCAAAGGTAGGAAGTATGAAGTTCATCTGGCATTTGCTGCCAACCTGTCTGACAGTTTCCATGGTTTCTACAAGGGAAGCTACCGCACCAGCAGCGGGGAGGTCAGGTAAGGCCACGAGGCATTTTGAATGTTCTCTGTGTTTATTTTACTAATAAGACTAAATTTCTCTTTTGACAAATAACTAAAATAACTGAAGAACGTCAGAGAAAAAAATGAATGGCATCCTTGTTCACCTCCATTTTATTGGCTGTTATCGGATACTGAAGTAAAATCTTCCTTTTTGCAACAGAGAACAAAGAGTTTATTGTAAATGTAGTGCAACTTTGGAATTGGCTATAAAATGAGTGCAAGTAAAAGCTTAAAGTTCACCAAAAAAAGATTATTTAGTGCTGAAAGCTCCTAATCACACCAGCTTTAATCCACTTTCACTTTGTGCTTAATTACATTTTCAGAGTCCTGGCGTCCACGCAGTTTGAAGCGACTTTTGCTCGTGGAGCCTTCCCCTGTTTTGACGAACCCGCCTTCAAAGCCAACTTCACCATACGAATTATTCGAGAGCCACGCCACATAGCCATATCCAACATGCCAATGGTAAATGTAGACTGACCAGTCCCAGTTTACTTTAAGCATAAATGAGTAATTGCCAGAAATATGGATTTATTAAAAAGAACAAAATAGCAACATGCTATATAGTCTATACATACGACTATATATGCACATCTGCAATATTATGGACCTCTCCTTTCTTTTCTTCATTATTAAAACACTCCTGTGTTTCTCAGGTTAAAACTGTGGAGTTGCCGGGTGGTTTGCTTGAGGATCACTTTGACACCACTGTGAAAATGAGCACTTACCTGGTTGCCTACATTGTGTCGGACTTCAAGTCTGTGAGCAAGACGACCCAGCATGGTGTCAAGGTGAGATGCACACCAGATGCTTCTTATTAAAAAGACTTTTTTTAGTCAGCAGTTTGACTAAAATACTTTGCATAGGTACTGTATACATCTACACGGTGTGAAGCATATCAGACGTGTCATCTAACGACTGTTGTACTAACTGAGAAAACTTTCTTGTTCTTTGTTCTTTACTGTGATTCCCTTCAGATTTCAATCTATGCTGTCCCTGAGAAGATCGACCAGACAGCCTTTGCACTGGATGCTGCTGTCAAGCTGCTGGACTTCTATGATGACTATTTTGACATTCCTTACCCACTTCCCAAACAGGGTCAGTGGAAATCACATTGTGTTTCCATGTTAAGAGACACACACTGGTGTAGCAGTTGTTATTTTGTAACATATTACAACAGCAAGAAAAGACTTGATGAGTCATAAGTCTCTGTCTGCTTCTGATCCTTTACTCGCCTGTGTGGAAACTATGCTTTGTGCACACATTCAGGATCACATGATACCTCATATTTCAACGCTTTGACAGAACAAATATGTAAATTTAGGTGTAGACTGCTCTGTAGATGTATCAGAGGAGAACGTAAGCCATACCTAGTCGAACCGTGAGGTGACATGACTGTACCACATTATTTGTGACTGTGTTCCCTCTGCAGACCTGGCAGCTATTCCTGACTTCCAGTCAGGTGCGATGGAGAACTGGGGACTGACCACCTACAGAGAGACCGGCCTCCTCTTTGACCCTGAAAAGTCATCAGCTTCAGACAAGCTGGGCATCACCAAGGTCATCGCCCATGAACTTGCGCACCAGGTAGCTGCACTGATTCTGTTTGTTTTAAGTTAAAAGTAAAGCATTAGGGGCTAGGCTATGCAGACAACCCATGTGCTATAAGGCTAATCCAGAGGTCTGGGTTTGAATCAGTGCCGAGGCCATTTACTGCATGTCTTCACCTGGTCTTTCTCCCAGCTTTGTCTTTTCTCTTCAATGTTCTGTCACGATAAAGGCTTAAAATCTAAAAAATAAATAAAAATAAACTCATTCGTGTCAAAGTTCATCAGTCTGTACCAAGTTTTCCAAGTCAGAGCTTTACAAAGAAAATTTGCTTAAATTTATTGTCAGTATGATTGAGCGTAGCATGTGCAGTAGATACAGGTTTGTTTGACTTTTCAGTCGTTAGTACAGTATAACAACACTAAAGGTGAAAGAGCATGTTTAATGCTGTTCTTGCATGTTTTCCTACCTGTCCAGTGGTTTGGAAACCTGGTGACGATGGAGTGGTGGAATGACTTGTGGCTCAATGAAGGTTTCGCCAAGTTCATGGAGTTTGTTTCTCTCGACATCACGTACCCAGAACTTCATGTGGTGAGACTTTGAAACTCTATTTAAAACTGACTGATCCCAGGTCCTATTGGAACATACAGATCAGTTAAAATGATTTACTAAAAACCAGAAGGACATTAAAGTCACAGTCTCATAGTTTTAGTAGTGTACATTAGCTGAACAACTCCTATGTTTTGCTGGATAAGGCTACAAAGATGTGCATAAACATGATTCCATCCTCTCATTCTTCCAGGATGATTTCTTCCTGGCAAAATGTTTTGAGGCTATGGAAGTAGACTCCCTCAGCTCTTCCCACCCAGTCTCCACCCCTGTGGAAAATCCCACACAGATCCAGGAGATGTTCGACGATGTGTCATATGACAAGGTTAACCTCGGCTGTTACATTCTGTTTCATGTTTCTGTACTTGTGTAGGATATTGAAACTAACAATCGTCTCAGTATTTCATCATCATGTAAAATCTGTTAATATTTGACGTAAATTAGATATTCCCAAAGCTGAACCCACACTGTGCAGTTGAATCAAAACACTGAAGGACTTATCTACGTTTCATATTATTCCTTTTTTTAGAAGCATGTATGTATTTTGTTTTCAGGGTGCATGCATTCTGAATATGTTGCGGGACTTCCTCACTCCTGAGGCTTTTGAGATTGGCATCGTCCGATACCTGAAGCGCTACAGCTACCAAAACACTGTGAACAGCCACCTGTGGGAGAGCCTGACCAATGTGAGTGATGTGTGAGCGGTCTCTCTTTTAGAGGACTGATTTTTCATCAGTCATTTTTCTTCTTATGTAACTGTGAATGCTGAATGTGGCTCATCGTGATGCGCGTCTCTGTTAAATGTGCTTCAGATCTGCAGCTCAGATGATCTGGATGAAGGTCGACTGAAACACACAGAATTCTGCTCTAAACGCAAAACTCAGTCCGGAGCCTCGGTAAGTTGTCGTTTGATGCTTGGTAGCAAACTTGTTCAACAAAGCTCTCTGATTGTGAGCAGATTTTAGCAATTACAATAAACTCCTGTGACGTTGTTGTATTTATACAACATTATGTTTGTCTGTATTTACAGAAGTGGTACTCTGGTGATGAGCTAGACGTCAGGGCCATCATGGACACCTGGACTCTGCAGGAAGGCTTCCCACTGGTCACGGTGGAGGTCAGAGGTCGGGAAGTCAGGCTCAGTCAGGAGCGTTACTTGAAGACAGACGACCCCTCCCCGAGTGAAGGGTATGCTGTCAGGAGCGTTTTCTGTTACAATGCAAGTTTACAGCATTAAGCTATCTTCAGCCTGGAGCGTGTGGGAAGCAGGGTGCAATATTTAAACTGTAGTTTACTGAACAGTTCCTGTAACTGTGTAGCTGTCTTTGAAGCTTACAGTGAAAAATCATCACTTTCATTTCTCCAGCCAATAATAGTCTTATGTTTTTACCCCTCAGCTGTAAAAGGTTGATGGGGCGGTGTGGACAACTAAGTTTGTGAATGTGATAAATCGAGAATGAGGAGACGTTGGAGCTTTCAATTGATAACATAAGTGTATCTACTAAGAATATTGGACAACTTAATATCTCAGTGACCTCAACTTAAAGGTCAAAGGTCAGAGATCCAATTTTCCCAAAGTATTGTGAATGTGATAACTGAAGAATACAGTAGTGTAGGATTTTAAAATTGATACCATAGTTGCATCTACTAAAAATCTCGGATGAGTTCTATTCTCAGTGACCTTGATTTCAAGGTCAATGACCTCTGACCTTGAACTCACGGTCAAGACTTGAACTTGACCTAAAAATGAAAGGTCAGAGGTCAGGTTTTCTGAAACTCTTGTGAGTGCAATAACTTGGCAATGTAGGATTTTGAAATTGATACCATAGGGGTGTCTGCTATGAGGCAGAGGGATCACCCTGGCGGTCTCCAGTATTTATATTGTCATAATAAACAGTTTGACAGTTGCTTATCTTGATTTAATCATGATTAAACAAAGACATTACCTTTTAATTAATCATTATTTTGTGTGTCTAGATTCCTGTGGCAGATCCCGCTGACATACAAGACCAGTGCCTCCAACACCGTCCACCGCTTTCTGCTTAAGACAAAGACTGGTGAGTACTTGATGACATTGAGCCTTGGTTTTCTTTTAAACGGCAATATTCATTTAAATTTCATGAGTCATCATCACTTGAAAGCTTCTCTTTACTCTTCTGTCTTGTTCAGATGTCCTGTTCCTGCCAGAAGAGGTAGACTGGGTGAAGTTCAACGTGGACATGAGTGGTTACTACATGGTTCATTATGCAGGCGAGGGGTGGAACTCTATTATCAAGCTGTTGCAACACAGTCACACAGCCCTGAGCGGTAATGACCGTGCCAACCTCATCCACAATGTCTTCCAGCTTGTCAGGTCTGTTTAAACATTGCATATTAACACCAAAATTAGCTGTCTATCCTTTGGTATCTAGTTTAAGTGAAGCAGTCTGATATATTGAGCTTTGCAGGAAAACAAAGTATTATACATTCCACATACATTGCTTTTTCCCTACTCTTTGTTCTAAAGACAAGAATTCTAAAATATATCAGCTAAAATTATGTTTAGATCCAAGCACACAGTATGCTAGAAAGGAGAAAAGGGCAGCAGGATGTTTACCTGACATCTGTCTTGCAGTATAGAGAAGGTGAGGCTCGACACGGCTTTGGAGCTGTCGCTTTACCTGTCCAGAGAGACCAAGATCATGGCTGTGACTCAGGGCTTTGGAGAGCTTGTGCCGCTTTACAAACTGATGGAAAAGAGAGACATGAAGGTGCTGGAGAACCAGATGAAGGTTAGTTTGCTGGCACATTACTTGGCACATTATACCAACATATGTGACTCAGTGGCATAGTGTGATCAAGCTCAACAAAGCACAGGCCCAATTAGGGAAAAAAAAGAATAACCTTTGCCTTTACAGTAGTTTAAGGTAAAACTATACATTCACCCATCTGAATTATTGACTTCAGGTGTTCCACGCATATCAACCACTGGACTGAAAAAGAATAAAAAGGCTTTGACTTTGCACATGTTTTATAAGCCGAGTGCCCCAGAGTGCAATATGATATGAAATATTATGATAAAATTTATTGTCCAGTCTGGGAAATTTGTCATGGACTCAGGTACTCAAGATAACTTATCTTGAGTACCTGAGTCACAAAACAAAAGTACTGTCCCAAAATCAGTGTAATGAAAGATTCATTTTGTATATAATTTAGTTTATAATGTGAAATGTCTAAGAAGCAGGGTTCACACTATATATAATTTCAGTTTGTTAGAATTTTACAATGGATGGCAGCAAATGTGAAAAGAGAAGGTTTACAAGATGGTAGTGATGAAAAACCCTGATACAAAGGTATCACTTTGCTAGTATACCCCCGAAGTCATTCGCTAGTCTTACTGCATACACTAAAAGCAGTGAATCTATGGTACCTTAAATGCATTTTCCTGTTATTTTCAACCATGTCCATTGTGATTATGCAATAAAACTCCAATTTAGAAAAACTGGTTAAAAAATGTATTTATTTTTTGGTTCAAACATCGTTCGAGGGGTGTCTGACGTTCCTCTTTGCAGGAAAACAAACATACAGCATGTGGATTGTAACTGTATACTCTCTAAGGAGGATTTAATGTCTCTTTTTGTTTTTTAGAGCTATATTGTAGATTTGTTCCAGGATTTGATTGACCAGCAGGAATGGAATGACTCCGGCTCCGTGTCTCAGCGAGTGTTGAGAAGTTACCTGCTGCTGTTTTCCTGTGTCAGGAACTATGCTCCCTGTGTGACCAAAGCCACCCAGCTCTTTAACCAGTGGAAGGACTCTGATGGCACCATGAGGTTTGGAGTCATAGTCAACAATAGCACAAGAAAATCTGATTTTACTATGTATATACATCTGAACTGAAAGCCTCCTTGTTTTTGTTTTTTTAGCCTTCCTGTTGATATCACCATGGCAGTGTTTGTGATTGGAGCTCGAACACCAGAGGGCTGGGATTTCCTCTTTGAGAAGTACCGCCATTCGCTGCAAATGTCGGTCAAGAGCCGCATGAAGACTGCCATGGCTGTTAGCCCACTGCAGGACAAGCTCAAGTGGTGTGTAGATTATGGGAACTGGGACACATCAGTATTTCTTAGCTAAAGCTAAGGGGATATAATTACCCCTGCTCTCCCTTTACTGTTCCCTTTGTGTCTGCAGGATGATGGAGCAGAGCCTCATCGGTGAGATAATGAAGACTCAGGACCTCCCAGGCGTAGTCGTCTCTGTCAGCAAGAACCCTCATGGCTACCAGCTGGCCTGGGACTTCCTCAGAGCCAACTGGCACACTATGATCAAGAAGTCAGTCAGCCCATCACACACACGTTTTATCATCCACAATACACCATCAGCCTTAAATCCTCAGTCTTGTCAGTTTTGCACATATTGATACTTTTGTTTAGTCAGGAGAGAGCACCGCCTTTGCCAAGAGTATTAAAATTGGTAGAATAGCCTATAATATAAACTTTATTTGTATACAGAAAATTTTGTTTGTTTATTATTTATATATTGATATGAAGGTATTCCCTAACAAAATAGGGAATTCTATCACTGGTTAAAAAAATTTGAACTTTGGTGTTTGTTTGCTTTGATGTCACAGGTTTGACCTCGGCTCCAGCACTATATCATACTTGGTAACTGGGGTAACTAACCAGTACTCTACTAGAGAGATGCTAGATGAGGTAAGTATGGCTGCATGTCTACATAGGTGTTCATTATTTCGATCAAAAGGCATGTCCGTATTTCGGATAACAAGAATATTGCCTGGATCTAAATATTAAGGACGCTGCATCTAGAATGTCGATCAAAGTCTTCCTCCTTTACACCGACTCAGGTACGAAGCTTCTTCGGCTCCCTGACAGAGGAGACGGGCTCAGAGATGAGGTGCATCCAGCAGGCCTACGAGACCATTGAGGATAACATCCGCTGGATGGACAAAAATCTTCCTCTTCTGCAGGCTTGGCTGGACAAGCGCAACCGACGAGTGTCTCATGAGGATTTATAGCTTCAGGAAGGTTAAAATAATGAATAGTGAATAATTACAAACAGAAACAAATCTGTGTAAACGCAAACCACAAAATAGATGAAGTTGATCACAATGACGGTTGTTTTTCAGCTCAAGTTTGTCTATAATAGCAGTAAGTCCTGACTTAAATTGGATTTTTTTTGTGTCAAAATCACTTTAAATCTCTACCCAGTCCCACAAGTTTACAAAAAAATGAGCTTGCTTTGGGAAAGATTGTGGGTCATTATAAGTATTATTTAATACCCTGAAACTGACTGACCGCACTAGTGAGTTTTTTAATTACAATTGTTTAAACTACAGCCTAAAAAAATGTTAAACAGGTGCATTTCAGATCCAAACAAAACTAATGAACCATTCTAAGAACGTCCTAAAAGTCAGCTCGCTCTCAAGTCCAGCTGCATTTAACCCTCTGTGCCCAGGTTTGCTTCAGTTTGCTTCAGCATCTCTCCCTCCCTCCCTCCTTCTCCCTCAATCTGCTGATGTGTGTTTGTGTTTTCCTCTCAGTTTCCAGCACACCTGCTTTCCAAAAAGTTTCACAATGAAGTTGATTTTAAAGTTTATATGGGCTAATGGGAGACTTTTTTTTGCATGGAAACCAATCATACAGGAGTCCAACTAAATCACATGTGAGATCTGTGGCCTAACTCTTAAAGTGAGCACAGACAGTATGTGTAACCATTCATTCAACAGTGTAAGTGTGCCAGGGAATGTTACACAATGATCAAACCGGTCAATCCATGCACAGGCATGGTGCAAAACAACATGTGAGCACACTAACATAACAGTCCTCAGTAAGGGGAAAAGCAGCCTTAGCATATAACATAATTATTAAATGAACCTATTTGTTGTTTGTAATAGTCTCCTTTTTTCTGAAGAAAAGATCTTGTTTTTTTCCACAGAGATGTTTGTGTGTGCTGAGTATGTCTTTGTGCAAGTGTGTATGTTTAGCTGTGAAGTTTAAATTCTGTTTTAGCTGGATGAAGTCACAGTTGTTGTTTTTTAACAGTAAATGTTGAATTCTGCTTCAGTGCGAAGCAGCATAAAGATTATACGATGTGATATGAATAGTGCAAAAGAAATGCACTCAATGTCTGACTTAAGTTTTTTCTTGAAAAAGAACCTAAAAATGTGGGCATGTCTGTGCAAAACCAATGAAACAGACAATGTAGTGCGCTGCGCTTAATATATTTTTACAGTTTATTGGTTGTCGTTAAAAGATTAGATTACACTTCTGTACGTTTATATTTTTCCACAGTTTGGGTAAATTTTAATACTGAGGAGCTAAACATGGATTCCAGCGGCGCTGGTGTGTGTTTTGGTACAGTTTATTTAAATGAGTAAGCTCGGCAAGACAAAAAGCACTGTAAGAAAAAATGTTTTATGTGTGTGTGTGTGTGTGTTTTGTTTTCTTTTTGGTTTATTGAACAGAGTAGCATATTTCCATTTTTATGCTCCTGTTACTAAAACCGTTGTTGAAAATGTAAAGATGTGTGTTGGTTTGATTAAACGTTGGACAAATAAAGTTTTTCTTTTGAACTATAATGCATTTTCTCTAACAGCATAGTGTTCTAATTATATTAGTAGTTTGATAAGGGTTATATGTTCAGTCCCTGTGAGTTTTATGGATATAACCTTTGTATCTCCTCATCCCTCTGATCAGCAGGTGTTCTTCCAGTTTGGGAGTGTTTCCTGTTTGAATTTTGGGCTTTCTTCTCAGACACACACCAAAAAGATTTTATAAATTAGGATCAGCGGTGTATTAATCCTGCCTATAATAACAGCTAATATTGCTGCTCTGAAAGACTCACACAACAGTGAGTCTTTATAGAAGTGTAAAATAAATGGTTGGAATAAACCTTTTAACAAGACTCTTCATGACACAACACCTGAATGCATAGTGAAGGAAAAATCAGATGTTATTAAGCTAAGTGTGTCCAGATTAATTACAAATTGTTACATATTTTAATATACCTTAAAATGACGACTAATGAATCATCAGATTTAACTTCTCTTGCCCAGAGGTGACAGGAAACACGATACTATTATAAAAATGTTTTATTCCACTACTTTCCTTACTTTCAATTTTTCTTAGGCAGTAAATTTCAGCTAAGACCTTGTAGATAAACGTGTCTCTTTCTCTTTTAAACTTCTAATGCTGCCATAAATTCTTTGGAGGGACCTTTAGCACATACTAATAAAAGATACTGATCAACTGACAAAACAGAAATTCATAGAAGTCTGCTTATAACAGGGGTAGGCAACCTTTCTGATGACGAGTGCCATTTAAAATTTCCACAGACGTCAGTGTGCCATATGATTGCATTAGCAATAAATTAATAACGCTCTATATTAGGAGTCGGCAACCCTGGGCACGCGAAGGGTTAAGTGATGGCACGACCATAGCTGGACTGGCCATCGGGCATACCTGGCATTTGGTCGGTGGCCAATGATTTTTTTTTTTTTGTAAGGTATATAAAATGAAAGTGGTGGATTGGCCAGATGCTGGCGGTGTGTAAAAATAACTCAGTTGTTTGGTGGTGGCTTTGGCGAGCTTCCACAGATTCATTAACATTACAAGTGGTGGAGGCCAGCAGGTGGATGAGAGAAAGGGGAGGCAAGAGGAGAGACCCGAGGCAGCGCCGTCCGAGTGTCAGGTGAACTGAACTTCAGGTAAGAAGTTATGACCTGCAGTCTATCTGGGTCAGATATAAACCAAGTTTAGGTGGAGTTTATTTTCGTTGTGCTGACTTTTTACAGTCAGTTACAATAACTCGTACTGCGTGCTAGCTAGCATGACGAGAGTTTCTATACAGCTGGGTGGGTGCTATGAAGTTACTGATAGTGAACTTTATTTTATTCATAAGGTTAGTTAGTAGAGTTGCCAACCTCCGTAAAAAGACGAATCGTCCCGGACTTCAGCTACAATGAAAAAGACATAAAGCTGGAGCTGCACAGCTGCCTCTTCTTCTCTCATTCTCTCCCCTCTCTCTCCTGTTGCTACTTCAATCATGAAACTGATCAATGATCAGCTGATCGGCTTTTCTCTCTTGTTTGTTTATCGCCCACTTTGCGCCAGAAAGAGGAAACCAGCGGATGTCGCGCTAAACAACAGCAGCACGTTTAAGCTTGATCAGCTGTTGTTAGAATTTATTTAATATTTTTTCTAGTATCAGCTGATGTTTGCTGGAGCCACAGCTGTAAAACTGCTGGTCATGATATCGGTTTGGATATGTGGTGAGAGGGAAACATGAAGATGAAACCAGGAGATGTCCTTACTGGATCATCAGAGCTGAACAGGTGATGGAGAAACAGGTTTACCTTTTAGGTGACATGAATGAGTTGAAGGGTTGGGTTGAATATTAACAAACATGCCATATTACCCAGTTATTTCTCTTATCAGTGGTTCTATATATTGTGTAACTGTTCATATAGAGCGTTATTAGATTTATTGCTAATGCAATCATATGGCACACTGACCTCTGAGGAAATTTTAAATGGCACTCGTCATCAGAAAGGTTGCCTACCCCTGCTCTATATGAACAGTTACACAATATATAGAACCACTTTATAGAATTATATTTGTTCGCAGATGTTGGCAGCTATCAGCAATAGTTATCAGCTGTTTTGAAACAAAAAAAGACACTTTTTATCCATAACAAGAACTCCATAACAGCAAATGAACTGTACAACAGAAAATACAAATGCTATTTATGGTCTCCTCACAACAATGATAAGAGAAATAAACTGGGCCAATATGGCATGTTTGTTAATATTCAACCCAACCCTTCAACTCATTCATGTCACCTAACAACCTGTTCAGCTCTGATGATCCAGTAAGGACATCTCCTGGTTTCATCTTCATGTTTCCCTCTCACCAGATAACCAAACCGAATCATGACCAGCAGGTTTACAGCTGTGGCTCCAGCAAACATCAGCTGATACTAGAAATTAATATTAAATAAATTCTAACAACAGCTGATCAAGCTTAAACGTGCTGCTGTTGTTTAGCGCGACATCCGCTGGTTTCCTCTTTCTGGCGCAAAGTGGGCGATAAACAAACAAGAGAGAAAAGCCGATCAGCTGATCATTGATCAGTTTCATGATTGAAGTAGCAACAGGAGAGAGAGGGGAGAGAATGAGAGAAGAGGCAGCTGTGCAGCTCCAGCTTTATGTCTTTTTCATTGTAGCTGAAGTCCGGGACGATTCCGTTTTTTACGGACGGTTGGCAACTCTACTAACTAACCTTATGAATAAAATAAAGTTCACTATCAGTAACATCATAGCACCCACCCAGCTGTATAGAAACTCCGTCATGCTAGCTAGCACGCAGTACGAGTTATTGTAACTGACTGTAAAAAGTCAGCACAACGAAAATAAACTCCACCTAAACTTGGTTTATATCTGACCCAGATAGACTGCAGGTCATAACTTCTTACCTGAAGTTCAGTTCACCTGACACTCGGACGGCGGCTGCCTCGGGTCTCTCCTCTTGCCTCCCCTTTCTCTCATCCCCTGCTGGCCTCCACCACTATTAATGTTAACGAATCTGTGGAAGCTTCGCCAAAGCCACCACCAAACAACTGACCAGCATCTGGCCAATCCACCACTTTCATTATATACCATTACAAAAAGAAAAAAAAAAAATCATCGGCCACCGACCAAATGCCAGGTATGCCCGATGGCCAGTCCAGCTATGGTCGTGCCATCACTTAACCCTTCGCGTGACGACTGTGGCACGCGTGCCCAGGGTTGCCGACCCCTGGCTTTTATTAACAGATATAAGTTTTTGTTGTGTGTGTGTGTGTGTGTGTGTGTAAGATGTGCAGAGGTGAAAAACCCTGGTAACAATTAAGAATACTACAATTCTCAGTGTATTTCAGGTGCTATTAAACGTGCCTTCTTTGCACTCGCCCCCATGCTTGAACACACTGTACACACCGCCTCTTATCAGGACACTCATAATAAAACTGCACTCTGCTCCAGTGAGTTTTCCCTCCCAGTCTCATACGTGAGAGAACTTGTGGCTGGATCGAAGGTAAGAGCACAGAGCTGGCCTTTTTTTCTTCTGATTCCTTGTTTTGACTATTCTGCTCAGTTACAAGAAGCTGATAAAACTGAATCTAATAACAAAAATCTGAAAATACTAGAAGCTGTTTGTTTTAGAAGCGCAGACTAGGCCGCTTTCCCGCTGTGCTTACCGATCATGTGCTCACCTCGCCTACTTCTCATGTGATTGTTTTAGGTTCTCTTGTTCGCTTTTGTTTAATAATTTATTTAAAAAAAAAACTTTTAATGCTAAATCACCTTAGTACGGGCAGAGTTTTTGTGGCTTTACTATCACAGTTTCATTATGTTGAAAATCTTGTAATCTGTTGCCCTCCCAGCATTTTACATTTAAGAAAATAAAAATATAATTTTGGGAAAACCCTAACTTTGGCAACTGAGCCAGCCTTAAAAGCCATGTTTAACACAGTGACCTACTTTTCTCAATTCAAGGCTGCGAATCAGTTAAACAGACCTTTCTTATTGTGGACACCTTGATTTGATTTGTGGCTTGGTGCAGCAGCTGTATTAGTATCTTGTGTTTTTAAGCCTTTGATAATATATTTGTCTTTCCATTCCATCTGATAGTGAATGCTTAATAATTTGATAAACAGGTCTAATATTATGATTTACTCACGAAAAAGGAACTGTCACAAATTGAATTCAAGGTTTATTTGTCAGACACTTCATTCTTATAATCGTGTTGTATAAAAACCATGTTTCCTGAGTAAGTCATGGTTTATTTACTTCATTTAACATGACTCCACAAGTCAGAATTTGGTAACTTGTGGAATCACTCATCCATCTCACCTCTCTGATTCACAGTTTTGAAATCCACGCTCACTAATATGTCAACAGCCTAAAATAAGCTAAGATTTGATTTGCTATCAGGCTATGAAATTGATACCTATTTGTAATCAATTTAATATTCCAAGTCGTCACATGATTGCTTTATGGGCATCATGGAACAAGTGCAGTCATCCCGTCTTTGCGAAATATCACTGACAGCAATAGTTAAACTAAATGACTGCAAATTATATGAGGCTACTGTAGTACAAAGTGCTGCTTTGTAAGAAATCTTCTTCCAGAACCTACCTATCCTATCTTATCTATCCTAGTACAATCAAGACAGGCAATAAAAGCTCCTTGGAGATTTCATTTTTTCTATGACAAAACATTGGGTTTAAAGTTCAAAGTGTACATATTTTCCAACTGATACGAAAAGATCTAAAAATGGAACATTTTCATTGAAAGGGTGACCACATAAGCTCGTGAAAGCAAGATCTTTACATTTTAACTGCACTGTTTTTAGATCACTGATGACAAAAAAAATAAAAAATCTATTTTTTTTTTTGTTTTGTTTTACATGTTTGCCTTTCAGGTTCATTCAGTGGTTTGTTACTCCACTGTCATTTTGGCCCATTAAGAATTCATCCACCAGATTTAAGGATGTTTTCGGACTACAGTGTCTTTCTACAGTAAGACCCATTTCTTTTCATTGATACTTTTCTATGAGAATTACTTTCCTGTGCTGTGTGTACTATGTATTATTGGCTGAAAAAGAATCCTTTTTTTCAGTTTCTTTTATTCTATTAAAACAGCAAACTAATAAACTGGTAACACCTTCCACCACCAGGGAAGGCTGAGAGTTTTCAAACTGTGCCAGAGTTGTTAGATAACCTGTTCTCTGCTTTCTCCACATCTTCGTCTTTCTCCAAGGATCTTCCTGGGCATCCTGGGTTTTGGTCTCGCCATGATGTTCTGCACCACTATATGCAGACTATGCCATCGCCAAAGGGATGACCCTATATCACGGAGGTCTATAAGACATAGTGACCAGGGCAGGCTCCCGCAGTCCATATATTTCATTCCCTTCCCCAGGAGCATACCACAGCAGGACAGCGAAGATCAAGGTGGTGATGCCATGAGACCACCACGATACAGCACAACAGTCTACTCAGGACCCCCACCTGCCTATAATGAGGTGATTATGATTTTCTCTGCATCTCTTTCTCTTGCGCTAACAAAATAATGCACCCATATATCAGTATATTTAGGCTATTGCTAAATTATAGCTCTTTTTTTCTCTATCTTCAGCTGGAATTTAAGCCTGATGAGCTCCCACCTGCTTACAATGAACAAAGCATTTCTATGTATCCCATAACACCCCCACCGCCTCGCCCAGACATGGTTCAACCACAGGCACAGTAACAACCATAAGGAAAAAGCATTATTGTGTCGAGGTTACGGACACTCACGATATTGCACTGCCTCGTGGACATAAGTAACGAGAAGTTCTAATCTTTTAAGGGTTGGTTTTATTGTTAGACTTGTTTTCTTTATTGTTTTAAGGGAGTTGATGCTGGCACGAAGAGAATCAAAGTTGCGGAAATGGAAAAGGTTTAAAGTTACAACACTGTAAACGTGTTTCTGTTTCAGCTTGTTCTCTCTGTGTTTATTAGCAGGATATCAAAGAAGTGTATCAGGTATCAGGTATTTATTACATTTAGCGCAGAGCTAAACTGAAATACACGTTGTTTTGGTTTGCACTCAACATCTTGAGGACGAGATGCATTTTTTTCACCACTTTTACAGACTTCATTTCAACAGACAGTAAAGGGATGGCACTCATGGCATTTACAATAACACTGTGAGAAACTGAAATGGTTGCATTTTGCTTGTTCACACTCTGTATATTTACTAAAAGGGTTTAGATATTCGCTATTCATTCTTTCATCAAAATATTAGCTTTGGGTGACTATTTTGGAAAGCATGTATTCTCTGGTTGCTTTTTAAGTGATGTTCTAAACAAGCACATACAGTGAAGTACATGATATTGAAGTGTGCCTGACAAGCATGTATTTTCATATACGTATGCTGATTAACTTATGCGACTGTAATAGCACGGTTGCAGTGATGTTGTATTCATATTGTGCTAGAAGAGGCCTTTTTCACTCATGACAGGGACTGCATAGGTGTAACTCATTGTTCAGCCGTTGGTTATGGCCGAACAATCAGTTAGTGCTATTTATTACAGCTGTTCACGTACCATTCAATTACTGTTGTGATTTCTGAGAACTTGCTTTAAGACTTTAATGAAACAGCCACTTTACTTGAAATGAAATGTGTAAATAGACAAAATTTGCAAATTAATTGTTCAAATTGTTCTCAGGAAAAAAAAAGTGAATGATATTTATAGTAGCTGGTCTACTTAAAGTTCTCTGTACAGACTGAACGCTCCAACAAAGTCTGTAATATGAACCTGGAAACAGAGGTTAGAAAAAGATTTCAATGTTTAGGAAATTTTTCATGTAAATGTATGTTCATAATAATGATTGTATCACATGTACATATTGTGGATACGTTTAAATAAAGAAAAACACTAAATCAAGCTTGTCATAAATTTTAACAAAGTTGGAATAAAAGTTGAAATGCTTTACAAAGATTCACTTCGGTGCAACTTAAAACATTGAAGAATTTCCAGTTTCTTTGGCTTAAGAAACTCTTGAGGTGCTTTTGCAGCAGGTTTTTAGTCATTATCCTCTGAAGTGCCATTAAGGGTTATCCAATTAGTTTGGCAACATTTGGCTGAATCTGAGCAGTCATACAAGCCCAGACCATAACATTGCCTCCATCGTGTTTGACAGATGATATGGTATGCTTTGAACAAAGAGCTGGTCCTTTACAACTTTTCTTGAGTGTAGCCATTAGTTTTTTGTTTTTTTGTCGTTGTAAACTTTTCAATTCAATCTTTTCATTTTCCCAACAACAACTGCCTCAAGTCACTTTATATAATAAGATAAAGATGCTACAATAACAAAGAGAAATCCCAACAATCAGATGACCTCCTATGAGCAAGCACTTGGCACAGTGGGAAGGAAAATCTTTTAACAGGAGAAAACCCCTGACAAGCTCAGGGAGCGGCTGTCAGGGGTCACGTGTGGACGCGAGGAAGAGATGACCCAAACGCAGGACTCACGGTGCGGGATCAAGGGTGTATAGTGTAGTGAGTGGATGAACAGAACAGTAACGAACGCTGGCTGGCTGGATGACTGAATGGCTGGCTGAACTGAAAACACACATGGGAACGACGGCAGTGACAACATCAATGACAAGACAATGAGCGAGTGGAAACTGAGGACTTAGATACACAGACTGATGAGAGACCGGTGAGTACACAGCTGAACTTAATCAAACTAACGATACACAGGAAAGGAACTGGCACAGCAAGACAGGAATTGTGAACGAGTGAGAAATAAACTGAACATGAACGAACTGAAAACACTGGGTCAACGACCCAAGAACCCTGACAGCGGCAGCCGTCTGCATGACCAGATGGGGGTAAGAGGAAGAAGACGGGGCAAAAGGCACACCTTGTAAACCCACTGCATTTCTATTCATGAAGTCATCTCTTGAGAGTCTCACTCACCTCCTTGAGAACGTTTCTTGATTTTGCTAGATGTTGTGAATGTTTTTTTTTCTAACCAAAGAAAGAATTATTCTTTATCCCACTCCTACAGTTTTTGTCAGCTCTCTGACAGGTTTATTTATTTTCAGCCTAATGATGGCTTCCTGTCACTTGCACTGACATGTCTTTGGATCTCAGTTGCAGTCAAAAACTACCACATGCACATTTAACACATTTCCAGGTTCTTTCATCTGCTTCATTTGTCACAGAATAACAGGAATGCCTCTGAAAATGGGGTCCAATGTGTAAAACTGGTTGCAATTCCTAAACAGTTATTTTTGATGAGCTCCCTTGAATTACAGTTGAAAGTCTTCACATCTTGATTGTTTGATCTAAAATCCATTTGTGTGGTGTACAGAGACAATGTGCCATTGTAGTTTTGTTCACTTTTGTCAATGAATCCTTTAATACGTTACACTTATGCTTATTTTATATATAAAACTACATATCAACCACAGTCATGGTGTCTTTATGTCAGCTTTTAAAACTTCACAGCAACAACCCACTAACCTGCTGCACGAACTATTCTCTGTCAGCTTCCTGATAGCAAAATGACTAATCACAGGAGAAGCCAAAGTCCTTCTTTTATGACAGTATAATATCACATAGGGAGTGTCTCGTCAAACGATCCAATCTAACAGTGACCAAACTTAACACCAGGGGGCACTCCAAGCGTGTAGACACTGATGCTTTTTTGTTGTTGTCATCTTGTAGTTTCCAGGTCTTTCTTTACTTTGCTAAACGTACATTTATCTGTTTTGTTATAATTATATAATTTTGTTAAAAACATGGTCACAGATCTGTTAAAGGTTACATTACTCTAATCTGGTTATTTTTACTTCCTGCACAACCACATTACATTTTGTGAATAAGTATCATACTAGAAGTATTAAATAAGCCTCTTACTATTAAAGACTTTGAAGGAAGCAGTCTCGGATTAACACCTGGAATGTGTATTGTCAAGCTCTTACAAGGTCCCCAAAAGGCAAAACTGCTGTTGACCCTTGTGTGGACACATCTACTTGAGTCCTGCATGGGTGAGAGTGGATTTGCCCTGCTCACACAGCCCCACAGTTCACCCATGGTTAGGTCTGCTAAGGCGTGTTTGCTGGGATAATGCTAGACTATATGGACTGTTAAAATAAAACCCTGTACGTTCACTTACTGACACATCTCTTTAAAGGAGTGATAAAAATGATTGCACAAGGAGAAATAAACTAAAGGAGGAGATTTTGACATTTCTTTTGACAGCCTTGATAGGAGTCAGAACAATAACCTCCACAAATGGAAAAAGTTCTGCTTCTCTTCCTGCTGTTACACCGTGTACGTAATCCCACCTTTTCTCTTTTTCTCTGTCTCTGTTATTGCCTTTATTACTTTATACTTACAATACCATGTTTTACTATTTTCTTCATTCAAAAAGCAATAATGTGTAGATCCAATCATTGTTTAAATACATAAGAGCAAAGTTGTTTGGGATTTTTTTCCGTGTTGCAATATATTTACACGATTAGCTGTCTGTCTTATTTGTGAAATATATATTAAAAGGATAAATGACTTGTCTGCTGAATACTAACTCTGCCTAAGGGGGTAAACAAGACAAAGAAACTTGAATCCAAGCACTCTCTATGCTCCTCTGATAGAAAAATTATTAAAGTTATGCAACACTGTCTGAAATTAAAGTTACAACACTCTTTTCAGTAAGCTGAAGTAAGCTCTAATCTGTCCTTTTCTCAGGCCTTGCTGTGGCTCTTCTGCTAACTGTTCTCCAAAGCACACCTAGAATCATGGGCGGATCTACCGCAGTGGCAAAGGGTGGCATTTGCCACCTTAAAATATTCTCTTGCCACCCCTAGTGCCACCCTAGTTTTATATCTTGTACCACCTTGTACCTGCTGAATTTGACATATTTTTAGCCATATATAGTGCATATTACAGAATGTAACACCTGTATGTGTGTAAAGAAATGGCTTTGATTATGCCACCCCTGGTTAGAATCAGGTACTAGTACATCATGTAGCTAACTGTTTCTCTGTAAGAGTGTCACACACTTATCTGTTCCCAGTATAACACTGGAAGAAGTGTATAAATGAAACTTGCGGGAATTCACCCCTGCGGTAGACTGAAGCTTCACAAGGCTGACTTCCTATGGGGTTTGATAATATAATGTGCCCTTCAGCTTTCATTTAATTTATTTGAAAGACAATGAGAAATGCAGTATTTTTTCTTCCCTTGTTTAGTAAACAATTTTGAAATACAATTTAAGGAACTCAGCTGCTGGTTTAAGTAATTCTTAGCCTCCCTACATGCTACATGCCTACCTTGAGGTGACTTCTAATGTGATTTGGTGCTATATAAATAAAACTGAACTGAAAGAATTTGATTAAATTGACATGTGGGCAGTTCTGGAGGTCAATCCTTCAGCCAAACTGCAAAGAAATCCGCTAAAACTGTTTCAGTCCACTTGTGTTACGTCTTCACCCTGTTTGTTCTGAAAGAGAAATGTGGGATGGATTTCGAGAAAGAAACTCCCTTTAGGCTGCACAGACAGAGAGGAGCATGCAGATAATATAAAAAGGAATGCATGGGGATAGATATGTGAATGTGACAGTGACGGAACAGAAGTTTAGAGCAAGAGAACCGCTAAGAAATGAAAGAAAATATTCTGTGATGACTGACAGTCGTGTACAGTATCCCTCTCCCCCTGCTTCATTCTCTTTGTCTGCTGCTTCTCAAACATGCACTGGAGAGTCCCTGGCATTGCTCTGTCAGGTCTTTCCTTGTGCTGCTATCTTTGTCTGGCCTCTGTCATCAGGGGACTGTAACTCTTAATGAACACTCCCTGCACTATCTGTGAACTCATTTGCTAATCACAGTAACTGACATTCGCACTGACACATGCCACCTCCGATCCAGGATACTGAGTTGCAGGAGATCATTGTCCTTTTCAAGCTTCTTTCTTTTTTCTTCTTTTTAAATTCAGCTGCCAAACTTCTGGTTGTGTTTGTATTCTTCTTCATGTGAGATTAACCCGTGTTTGTAAGGTGGACTTAGCAAATTTACCAACAAACTCTGAGTTTGTATTGCTATGCTACATCACTGAACAAATAGATGACAAAAATGACTTCACTGTCCAACTAAGTTAGAAAAAAAAATCCAAAAGAATAAAACAAGCTTCACAAAGGGAAAACCAGCTCATATGGAATTCCTCCAGTAGTCTTGTGAATGTATGATTAATTCATGATTAACAAGATGATAAAACTGCCCTTGTTCACAGCAACAATACTAAAATACCAGATTCAGGCAAACACTCATTACTGGATCTGCTTCAGAACTCCTGAGTGCTACTTGTTGTACCAATCGCTGATATGTAACCAAACCTAACCTGCATTTGAAGTCACACCTTAAACAAAATTAACAATCAGTTCAGTTCAGTTTAGTTCAATTTTATTTATACAGCAACAAATTACAACAACAGTTGTCTCAAGGCGCTTTATACTGTAAGGTAAAGACCCTAAAATAATAGACGTGAAATCCATGACAGTTACAAAAATAATATTTATACGCAGTGTTGGGAAGGTTACTTTTAAAATGTATTCCATTACAGAATACAGAATACATGCCCCAAAATGTATTCTGTAACGTATTCCGTTACGTTACTCAATGACAGTAACGTATTCTGAATACTTTGGATTACTTAATATATTATCATGCTTTTTACAACAACGTGAATGTACTATTGCTGTGATTTATTACTATTACTGAAGGACTGTAGTAAAGGGACCTCTGACTAATACGGCGGGGTCCCTGTCGGCTCGTAGCCGAAAAATAGCTTTACTTTGTTGTGTGGGTCAACTTTTCTTGCGAGAGACAGAGAGAGGCGTTGAAAGGCTGCTCCAACGGAGCTTATCGTTTTCGGAGGAAAACACGAACACGGTGTACAGTCGAGTCTTAATAGCTTACTTACAACTGGGCTCATCAGGCACTCTTCTTGGCTGAAGTGGTTATTATTATATTTACATGCTTCCAGCTCCCGTTTTTCCTCGATGACAACTCGTACCTTTCCACTCCCCTTTCTCTCCCTCCTTGCGCTCACAGACCCATAACGTGTATGGCAGTGCATTCTCCCTGCAGCACGGACTACACTGCCCATGAGGCTACATTCTTTAGAGCTATGCTTGTAGCATTCTGCCTGTTAGCTTAGCACAACAACAACAACAACAACAACAACGACGAAAAGGCGCTCTCTCACCCAGGAAACACACAGTCGCAGAGAGAGAGAGCGTCGCCCTGTAACCATGGCAACCGTAACGCTGCCGCCTGGAACAAAGAGCGTAGCTGTCAAACAAAACCTAAACAGTCCTGACCCGCGACAACATGAAACAGGAAAGTACCGCAGTGTAATCCATTTATTTCAACAAAGTAACTGTTTTCTGAATACCACCTTTTTAAACAGTAACTGTAACGGAATACAGTTACTCATATTTTGTATTTTAAATACGTAACGGCGGTACATGTATTCCGTTACTCCCCAACACTGTTTATACGTATAACAACCCAACACAGAATTTTTTATATACAACATGTCTGTCATGAACTTTCAGTTTTCAGTTTCACTTCTATAAAACTCTGAAATTCCCTTGCAGTTGCTGACAATTGAAAGGGAAACGTTATGAGTTATGTTATTGACGTGCTACTTATTTACTATCTTCATTGTTAAAATGAATCTTCTCTGTTCTACATCAAATACAACATTAAAGAATCATAATTACGAACAAATTATGGCAATCCTTGTTGGATCCCATTTAA